ATTGCGTAGCATTCCACCACTGCTACGGTAAGTACATACAGCCCTCTTCCGGCACCAATCAGCAAGTCCAAATCCCCACCACCCCATCCCTCCTTCCCTCCGTCAAATACCCATCCTTAACCCTCACCCTCTCCACACTGCTCTTCCCATCTTCATCCCCGCAATCCCAATGCCGCCCATCCGTCTTGTCGTAAACCTTCGCCACACTCTCGCCGGCCGCAGCCACGATGCGGCGAGGGTCGAACATCATGCTCGTGACCGGATTGTCGTAGGCGTAGGCGTCGTGGATGGAGCCGGTTCGGAGGTCCCAGATCTTGAGTCATGTTAGCGGCGAGTGTTTCTGGATGGGATCTGTGCCCCGATGGGCCTGGATGATGATGGAGGTACAAAGGATGTGGAGCGTGGCTTACCCTTATACTCCGATCCAGACTCCCGGTCACAAGATGCACGTCATCAAACTGCAAACAAGTAACCGGCCCCGTATGTCCCACTAAACTCCTATGCACCTGTCCACTTCTTAAATCCCAAAGTCTAACCATGCCATCCGCCGTCCCACACGCGAGCGCTGCATCAAAGCACTGCAGGGCTCCCACAAAATCTGCTGATGCATCAGGGATGCGGCCCGTGGCGCGCCACTTGGCGTCTGTAGTATTCATGGTTGAGGATGCTTGAGCTGCAGCCCAGAGGACATCGAGGGTTTGGACGCAGCGGCCTTTCACTAGGTCCCATTGGCGGAGGGTCTTGTCTGCGGAGCCGGAGACGAGGGTATCGCCGCGGAAATGGAGGGCCGTTACTTCGTCGACGTGGGCTTCAAGGGTGAAGAGGGGGCAGTCTTGCATGCTTGAGGTATGTGGGGATGCTGGACGATCGACGTTGTCTGAAGCAGGTTGATCTTCGTCCTCCTCTTCTATTGTTGTGTCTTCGCGAGGGGAGTATTCTGCTTTGCTGAGGTCCCAGAGCCGGATGGATGCGTCCATGGAGCCAGTCGCTACCAGGTTGTCTTCGACTTGCAGACAGCGGACGGAGGCCTGGTGGCCTTCTAGAAGTCCGATGCATCGGCCAAGGTTGAGGTCCCATACTCTCACTGTATCGTCTAAGGCGGAGGTGACCATGGTGCCAAAAGGAGCATCAAAATCAAGGGCTGTGATCATGTCATTATGGGCTTGGAATTCCTTGATGGCGGATCCAGGCTCGAAATGTTCGTGTCTGATAGGTGTAGATTTCCGGCGGGTGGGTTTGTTGCGTTTTGCTTTGGGAGAGGGAAGTTTCTCGTAGATGGAGGCAGACATGAAGGAGGCGCTCATGTCTTGGGTATCCGTGGTTGTGACTTCAGTCTCTATGTCCATCTCCGTGGGTGGTGTCACTGTTGTGTGGCCTAATGTAGCTGCATCATCCAGCTCTTCCAGTAGATCCTCGAGCTTGTTATCCACCTCGAGCAGATCCTGCTCCGTTCGTACCTCATCTTGCTCCAAATCTCCAAGCCTCTCTAGAACAATCTTCCGCATAGTGTTCAGGTTTGAAATCTTATTATCGATCTCCCGGATCTCTGACGAGCACATGTTTTTCCTGACACCCATCATCTCCAAACGGTGATTCAGCCCATGCCTCTCCTTCTTCAATTTCTCCAGCGGTGTCTTGTCCTCTGCATCATCGGCCTCTAGTAGTTTCTGCCCTCTCGAGTTACGCCTTTTGTGCATTTTCCTGTGTTCACTTTCACCTTCTGGTAGAGTGGCCTGGAAGCCTTGAAATAGAGAGTATACATTCTCGTCTTCGGGAATATTCGCAAGAAGTTCGTCTGGTAGGTAGGTGAGGGCTCGATGCTGGATTTCTGTGGTAGATAACTTGGACCGGACCAATTCTGTCGGGGAGGCTTTGGCGTACGAGAAGACCCGTTGTTGGATGCCTGGCCGCCGTAGCTCCTTCTGCAGCGCGCTCATGGCATGCTGGTAATGGACGCTACTCTCTGGGTCGCCTATGAGGTGGGTTGCTGTAGTCGTTACTTTTCGCCCGAAAGCTTCGATATGTCGAGTCTGTAGGCGTAGGCGTCAGATTTGAGCAGGATACGAGTTAATGGGCTGATTCATGGTACCGTCAAGGCTGTCCCCAGCATGCCGCTCTCCTCAGACCCCGTCCTTCGATGACGCGCTGGAGAGCCATCGCGGCTCGCCATTCAGTGGGATGGTGTCAACGTAGGCCAAGGACGGAATATGGAAGCGATCGTATACAGCGCCTCTCCGAAAAACTCAAACAAATGAGCATGAACAAAGAAGCTGACAGGGACACCGAAACGCTGGCACACGACCAAGGCAGAGCATCTGATGTCCGGCAATACTTGCTGCCGCCAAGTCTGTAGGGCTGGATATCAATCCTCAGGTTAAAGTACCTTACAGATCGAGGGAGTGATGATCTCCGATGATCTGCGGTCCTCTTCGCTTTTCTTTTTGTGATGGATACGTTCATTCGACTCTGTATGAATAATGCGTCAAGGATATGTGCAGGCTCGGAGCCATAGTCAAGTCATCTGAGATCTTCATCTAGAGCAAGATCCTACAAGCTTTGACCCAGTCCGTTCCGATACTCTGAATATACAAGAAAACACGGCCTCAATTTCATGTCCCACTTGAATTACCACTATGGATACCGCAATTGATCTTTCGGATGCTTCGAAGGCACTCGATCTGGCAAATATACGCTTTCAATTGATGTAAGATCTCAAGGAGACCTGCATATTCTAAAGGGAGGAATTCTTGGAGACTGATTCACATTTCAGTCGCCTAGAGGACACCATAACGTTCCATCTCATAGAACGTGTTCAGTTTCCTTTAAGTCCAACCATCTACCAGCCGGGCGGGGTCAAGATCCCCGGTAGTCCTCTCAGCTTGTTTGACTGGATGCTCAGAGAACAAGAGCGCTTCCAGTCACTCGTCCGCCGCTATGAATCTCCGGACGAGTACCCTTTCTTCCCCGATGCAACTCAAACACCCATTCTGCAGCCCTTAGATTATCCTAGGATTTTGCATCCCAACAATGTTGATGTCAATCAGACCATCAAGAAGAAGTACATTGAGGTGGTCCTGCCCAGAGTGTGTAGAGAATTTGGGAGAGAAGACCGCGGCGAGAAGCAAGAGAACTATGGATCTGCTGCGACATGTGATGTGGCATGTCTGCAAGCCTTGTCGCGGAGGATTCACTTTGGGAAGTTCGTAGCCGAATCGAAGTTCCAACAGGAAACGGAGAGATTTGTAAAGTTGATACATGAAGAGGACCGTGAGGGAATTGATGCAGCTATCACTAATGCCAAGGTCGAGAAGAAAGTGTTGGAACGACTCGGGCTGAAGGCGAGGACATATGGGACAGATCCAAGTATAGGTGCTGAGGGTGGGGGGAAAATCAACGTGGATGCCGTGGTCGCGATGTACGAGGTGAGAAGGATTCGTCCAATCGCTAGGGCATCTTTCTATATTTCACTGCTGATACAGTCAGGAAACCGTGATACCATTGACTAAGGTAGTGGAGGTGGAATACCTTATGCAGCGGCTCAAAGGAACAAAATGGGAGTAGATGTTCAAAAGTTGAAGCCTATGCCTCAACGCATGGCTCAAGGGACCGAAGCGCCCATCCTAGCTCTGAGAAAAGTACTCTTGAAGCCCCTTCACAGCTGCTTCAAACTTGTTGGCTACTATTAGGATCATGTGTCCTTCTGGCTTGATTCCAAGCTCCTGAAACGTCCTCTTGGAATCTGACTTGGCGCCCTCCACCAGGTATTCGTAGCTACCAGAACACAAAGCATGTCTTTGAAGAACCTCGTCCTCAGGATGGAAGTAGAAAACCTCCGAAGTCCCCTTCTTGCTAGCCTTCTTCTGCTTCTTTGATTTCGGCGTGTCCTCTTCATCTAGCGCCGAAGCAATTTCCCGGTAGGTTTTCGACAAGATGAGATAGTGGGTGAAATCGTATGGCTCCTTCTCCTCAATTGCCCATGATATTTCTTCCAATAGCATCTTGTACATTGGTGGTACTACTTCAGATGGTATATTGACAAGTCTTTCTGTCAGCACGAGTCCGATACGGGCATTGGCAGCATTCTCCACGAGGTCATCAATTTCTGAAAGGGCTCCAGTGCGCTTGGCTTGAGCTCTGATGTAGGTAATCATTTTCTCGACGACTGGCGTGTCCTATTGCTTTGTTAGATCTTGGCTCATTAAATCGTAGACTCCTAAGTACCTTGTGCTCATGAAGATTGAGGACCGTGAGAAAGGCATATGGGTCTGTCTCATTCCCATCTACTTTAACAGTAGATCCCAGCAGAGGTTGCGCCAAAATCAAGTCGGTTAGGGCGCTGAGATCGAAGGACTGCGCATCCACGTCGAAGAGTTGGCGCAGCAATGTCTTGAGGCCATGGAAATCGTGCTCCGGCTGAGGATCAAACCATTCGAATTCGACGTCGAGCATGTTTGTATCCTGAGTAACAGTCAGGCTAGACGCATGGGCGAGACATGGAGACTATGTCCGTACATCGTCACTACTGCTCTCTTCAGAGCTACTCTCCTCGGACTTCAGCTCTCCCCCTCGGTTGTTGTCGATCTCTTTGCGCTTCGCCATTATTCGTTGCGCAAACGATGGAGATGGGTGATGTTGCCCGCTGGTTTCTCGTTCCTCCAAAAATTGCAGATCTGCCCTGCCAAGCCTGCAGCCCTAAGGTACTTTACGTACCTACCTACTCGTACGAGTAAAGAATTATCAAATTTGAATTTGTGGAAACATGTCCCACTCTGAGTCAAAAACGAGCAGAGACCTTAAATTAGGAGAAGTGCGATAAGAAGTGATTTTAATACAGCATACCTTAGTGTAGCTTGGTGAAAAATATTATCTGGAGTCTGCTTCCATAGATCTTTTCAGTCCATCCTTTCTTCCCACTACAAACATATTCACAAGACTTCTCTTTCTCTGCCGACCACCAGCTTGCTTCCCCGCCAGTTTGTCCGGTCTGTAGGCTACAAGCCATGGCAATCAACGAGAAGACTGCGACCGAGCCTCCAAACAAAACATTCGATACTATTCTGGTGCTTGTATGTATCAGAGAGAATTCTTCCCTACTGAAGACCTCTTTTTAAGTCTCAAGATATGTCTTGGGATCAAAAGGCTTTGGATGCCCCTTTGACCTATCTCATTGCTTAGGGTTTGATCTCGAAGAAGCGATACTGATCCCGAAACCTTCATAGGACTTTGGTAGCCAGTACGCTACCAATCTGAAACTCTCCTGCCTCACCATAATTGTTACCGGTAGCAATCTTCAAAAACGGCGGTAGTTACTGACATGTGATTGTGACTGCTTAGATACTCCCATTTGATTACCCGACGACTGCGCGAACTCAATGTCTATTCTGAATTACTGCCCTGCACGGCCAAGGTACTCGAACTCTCGTGGAAACCAAAGGGTGGGTCTAATCCCTTACATTATTCTGTACTCGCTTTGAACTTAAGGGCAACAGGAATCATCCTCTCTGGTGGACCGTATGCGATCTATGAAAAAGGTGCTCCAACCGTTGATCCAGCTGTTTTCGAACTCGATGTTCCGATCCTCGGCATCTGCTACGGCCTTCAAGCAATCGCCTGGCATTTCGCAGGGAATGTTGTGGCAGGAGAGAAGCGTGAGTACGGACATGCAAAGCTTGATGTCAAGCAGCATGAAGGAGCAGCAGTCCATGTCGATCGCCTGTTTTCAGGGCTCGGAAGCGAGCTAGAGGTTTGGATGAGTCACGGCAAGTCAGACTCCGGGGATCCTGCCACTCATCTCAGCTGATAAATTTAAAGGCGACAAGCTCTCACATCTCCCCCAATCTTTTTTGACGATTGCCACAACATTCAATGCCCCGTGTGCCGGTATAGCACACGAGACAAAGCCCTATTTCGGTATACAGTTCCACCCAGAGGTCACCCACACTCCTCGAGGGACGGAGCTACTCGGGAACTTTGCCGTGAACATATGCGAGGCCAGGCAGCATTGGACGATGGATGAGTTTGTGGGAAAGGAGATTGCAAGGATACGGGATTTGGTTGGGAAAAAGGGCCAAGTCATCGGTACGTCTCCACGACAAATGCAAGGAGTTCACGGTGCTGATATGTGCCAGGCGCTGTATCTGGGGGAGTTGATTCCACTGTGGCTGCAAAGATCACACATGAAGCAATTGGCGATAGGTTTCATGCGGTTTTAGTATGTGAATTGAGTGGAAATACAAATGCTGCACGCTGACAAGGCTCCCTCAAAGGTGAACAACGGGCTCCTACGACATAACGAAGTGGAGGATGTACAAAAAACGCTTACAGAATCACTTGGTATACAACTGACAGTGGTGGATGCAAGCCAGCGCTTTCTGGATCAATTAATTGGTGTAGTTGACCCAGAGCAGAAGCGGAGGATAATCGGAAGAAAGTAAGGGACTTGTTTTAGGAGTGGAAGAATTCCCGGGACCTGTTTCACTAATCTTACATCGTCCCAAAAGAGACATTCTGACTCCGAAATCATTTAGTTTCATCGAAGTCTTCCAGGAAACGGCTAAGAAGATGGAAGAAGAAGCCAAAAACTCGTCCAAAGCCGGCGACATCGAATGGCTGCTACAAGGAACTCTGTATCCTGACGTAATTGAAAGCATAGCATTTCGAGGTGATAAGCTCTCATAAGCTGTTAATGATACGGTTCTTTGGGCTGGCACGCGCTTTCAAATAACCCAAGCACCTCAATTTGGGATACCTGCGACCTGCTAATATCTATCTAGGCCCGTCTCAAACCATAAAAACACACCATAATGTGGGCGGTAAGAGAGTCGTTTGAGGTTACTGGGGGACCTCAACTGACTTTGAAAGGTTTACCTGCGGTAATGGGTCTCAAACTTATCGAGCCTTTAAGAGAGTGCTTCAAGGATGAGGGTAACAATCTCTCGCCTTGCTTCGGTGGCAGTCAGGCTAAAGTCCGAACCAGTACGAGAGTTGGGGATGAAACTCGGTATACCAGAAAATCTTGTCTGGCGGCATCCATTTCCAGTAAGACATTTTCTCATATCAAATACTCCCCTTTTAATCATGTTTTGGGAGCCGGAGATCTTTTCTGCATCCTAAGACATGTGCTCTGAATCTAAAACCATCTTAAAGGAGAACTACTGACTCCTGATTCATTCAGGGCCCTGGACTTGGCGTTAGGTTTGTGCAGAGCAAGAAGACCACGAAATAAACCCTTTTAACCTTTATTCAGGGTTATTGGGGAAGTCACAGAAAGCCAGTTACGGATCGTTAGGCAGGCCGACAAGATTTTCCTCGACGCCATTGAAAACGCAGGCTTGTACACCAGCATTTCCCAGGCTTTTGCCGCGATTCTGGGTGGAGTAAGAGCGGTTGGAGTTGTAGGTGACCAGAGGTAAGTCTTGCAACTCCGGTTGCTGCACCGAAATGGCTGTACTGAATCCGAAATTTGCGTAGATCATATGAGCAATGCATAGTTCTGCGGGCTGTTGTTTCCAAAGACTTCATGACGGCAGAGGCGTACTGCTTTCCAATGGATTTTGTAAGGGACGTGGTACGTTTTGTTTTCCGTTGGAATCTTTCCTATCCTGACCTAATTTTGAGTCGTGAGACATGTCTTGGGAGTTCTTGCTCCTCAGACGTGTCTCGGAGCTCACTTGTCTTCCTCAAAAGAGAGATACTGACTCCGAAGTCATTAAGGCAACGACAATATGCAACGAAGTGAGGGGTGTGTCCAGGGTTTTCTACGATGGCGAGTTATAATTCATTCTCAAAAATCCGGAAACACAGGGACGACCAGCACTAATCTGGCTTGCAGCAACCTCAAAGCCCCCTGGAACCATAGAATTGGAGTAGCTATCTGCGGGAAACACGGCCTAGATCCAGCCTGAGATCGTCCAGAATTGAGCCTAGGAAGTCGCCATGAAAGGCTCTATCGTTTCCAAATCTTGGAACATGAAAAAGTTGAGCATATCTGCTGGCTCATCGATATGGGAGCCCGTCTTTGGATTTGCATGCGGAAGCTTTTTCTTGTCTCGTGCCTTTCGCGCTTCTCGGCGGCGGTAGAAGCTTTTCAAAAAAACTTCCTAAATCTTGCGCGTCCATTACATAGCACTCGTGAGATGATCGCAGCAGTATTTGGTCCCAATCTATGGGGCCTCGGAACAGCCATATCGGGCACATTCGGTCAATCGAGATACGTTCTCGGTGATTATCCCCCCTTTCTTTAGCTCGCCTAACTTCTTGATAAGTGCGCTGCACCGCCAACAGCGATCATCGAGACGCAGCTGCCGCTCAAGACACCCATCGGCCCCCGTTCTAGTACATCTGATGATTCTCGCCGTCTCCAGAGACAAAGGCTCTTCTGAGAAGCCCTTGAACCTGACAAAGCTTCAGTGAACCTGATCCATAGCATACTTTAGGTGCTAGAGCTACATTGCGAGCTAAAGTAGGATGGATCGTCTAGTCCCCATTGATTCAGACCTCACATCAGCAACCTTACTACCCGAGATTTAGGGATCTCTTACCCACAAGCTTGGCACTATGTTCTTTTATATATAGGGCTGGCTTCAGTGCTAAACTCACACTAAAGAATCTCGTCAGTTCATGTGATTCCTGACGCCAGAAAGTCGGACGAGGTTTTCCTACCGAGATTGTGCAGTCAATTATCGTTCGAATACTAAGGTTGTCTTTGACGGTCGAAACAGCTTCCTCTCCTGATTCATATTCGCCCTCTTCTTCTTCAGATTCGTCCTCTTCCTCCTCACGTTCGATGTCATCGTCCAGCGCCGCTTCATCTTGACCATACGCGGTTCCGGCTAAATGAAATTCTGAAATGTCCACTTCATCCTGCACGAAACGTTCGACTTGACGTTCGTTCCCTGTTATAGCATCGTTCTCTTGGCTTTCTCGGATTTTGGTTGTTGAATGGCCGTGATAGTCAGCGTTGACTAATGAAGAGGCAACAGCTTCAACATTTTCCATCGCCGATTTGACACCGTGAAGTGTGAATAAATGAAGTCGCATATTCGTCCATGAGTGGATGAGAATTCCGCAGTCTGGAACGGGACAAGAAAGCTCAACATGGTGAGTGGAGATATGATAATTGTGACCATTCACATTGTACAGCACATCCGAATTTCCACAACCAGTAAGAACGCACTTGATGGTCTTTCGGACCATTGGAGTTCCCGTTGTGGTCGCCAGCTTGCCCTGGCGTGTAGCGACGTGGGCTATCTGTGCAATCGACGTGGGGACATGGAATTGCGTTGGACTCGTTGCGCATATACAGAACATGTTGTTCCAGATCCATTGCGGATTTCTTGGAGTTGCAGCCTGGGAATGGGCAACGGACCTTATCAAATAATTCCCAACCTAGAATCCTGACGTAACAGCCCATGCGTCTCAACATGGCTGGGAAGACTATCTGCACGGATATCATTATTCAAAGTAGTGTGGTCCTTTCAGTTTTTTGCAGCCTGGTTCAGCAAGAGACCTGTTTCCAAAAGAGACGCTTGTGCGGCTTCTTGATATTTCTGCCAGGGTCAATATTATCAATAGAGACAGAAAGGAAACGGGGCCACAGAGTCATTACTTGCACCAAATGGCAATAATCGTTGCCTTGTATACTACTAGAATCAGTATGATATGTTTGCTGGGTCAGTCTAAGGTGAATCTTCACGAATGAGTCCTTTGTGGATGCGGTCACTGATTGCTTTGTTCATCTGTTAACGGGGAGTAGGCGACCAGACTTCTCCGCATAAAGGGTTCGAGGACTTGCAAATTCGAAGCGAAAAGGGACCCCCAAAAGACGGAATGTAGGGGCATGTTTTCATCTACAGAAGTGCCGCGTGATCTAATTCGAAATTCTATATTAGCCATGTCGACTCAAGCCAGCGAAATTTCCAATGGGAAACGCGTCACTCGATCTCAATGGTCGAAGGTGGCTTGATGGTGGCTACAGCTCTTGTGAATTACGGCTTTAGATGTGAGAGACCAGAGGCAAACAGAGTACTCATCATGGAAGAATATCCTTACCGACCGCTATCCCATATGCGAAAATACATGAGCGAAAACATTTCTGACCGCGAGCGAAAATCTCCCAACTTCTCGTGATAGCAATTTTGTGTTGGACATGTAGCTCGCTACTCTCTTCTCACATCTTTTATCATTCATGTCATCTGCCAAGCTCTATTCTGGCAAGCAAGCGCCCTGGCCGTCCGTCAACGTATCCCAGCTTATGAGCTTGCTCTTACCTCATAGGGTTCAAGTGTTTTATCGGAACACCATTCGGGGTTCTGAACCCTTACTACAGTTCCCTAAAAGAGACAGATACCACATGCCTAAACATTCAAATCCACCCTTCCCCCTTTCCGAATCACATCCTCGTACTTCGCCAACGCGCTCTCAACTTCACCACCAGGCCCTGTGAATTTATCCACTTGCTGCGGTGCCCTACCATAGAAACTCTTGGGTTCAAGCAATTGATCCAGCTGTCCAATGATCGGGTTGAAGAACTCTTGTTTTCGGATACGGTCGAGTAGGTCGTTGTCCTTGCCTTCCAATTTGACGGCCGCGGCAGCTTGGTGGGAGAGGACGCGAATTTCTTCGTGGGCTTCTTGCCGGGAGACGCCGACTTCGGAGAGGGCCATGATGATGTTTTCGCTGCGGAAGGGGTCAGTGCTGAGAATTCTGCGGTGCGGGTTGGGGAAACTGGACGCACGTAGCCATGAAGGGAAGTTCTTGGGCTATTCGCCTCTCGATGACGGCTGGGTACACGACAAGACCGGACATTACCTACAATGGTTAGCATATGTTGCTCTTAGGTATGCGTGCTACTAAATTACATACATTGTCCAAAAGTAGCATTAACGCATCAGCGCAAAGGAATGATTCCGGAATGCTAATTCTTCGGATTGCACTATCATCTGTAGTAGACCTTGTCAGATTCCGAAAGCCCTTATCCTATCCCCTGGCAGGGTGTGCAATCCAGGGATCCAGTCCTGCGCTCTATGCCAAAGAGTAGGAATGGACCCCTGAAATGTACACCGAAACTTAATGAGTCATACACCTGAAATGTACACCCTACCAGCGGATGGGATAATCGACTGGTCACTTACCTAGCGTTCGTTCGAACCACTGATGAGCATACGTAGCCATAGCGTCCATTGGCAGGTTCTGCAGCTTCCGTCCGAGCGCGCATCCTCGCTCGGAGCGCATGGGATTTCTTTTGAACGCCATTGCGGAACTTCCGATTTGATCTGTTTCGAACGGTTCTTCGATTTCTTTCATCATTGCGGAATGGCGGATGTCTGTGAAAATGCGCTCGCACTGGTGGTTTTCTGGGTCAGTGGTTCCAACACAAGACAGGGATCAGAAAGCGGTATGGACTGGACAAATTGCTCACTGTCGCGCCGAACGAACCAAGGGAGTTGCAGACGTCGAGATCGATCTTGCGAGAGTACGTCTGAGAGCTGATGGTGAAGACTGATTCGAAACCCGCCTTCTTCGTGACAAGCTCGTCGAGCTCCTCTACTTTGGAATGGTCTCCTCTGAACAGAGAAAGGAAAGTGCCTTGCGTGCCAGTAGCCCTGGAGACGCATTAGCGAACTTGGGGAGCTGATTGCACCGCGAAATCTACCCTTTGACGCCTCGGAAGCGAAGATCTGATCTAGAACGCTCAATGTTCCTTAAATCCATTAAAAGATCTTGAATCCAGAGACATGTTCTCTTTCCCTATAATGATTTCGGAGTCAGCATTACTTCTTCAAGGCAAAAGCCCGAACATTGACACAGGCGGAAGGGGTATCAAGCGTCTTTTACTCCTGAACCATGTCTTTGAAACCAGATAATGGTTCGGAACAGGAGGCAAAAGCCCGGGACATTGACACAGCCCGAAAGGGTATCAAGAGCATCGTGCTCCTGGATCATGTCTCGCAACTCCAATAATGGTCTGGAGTAGTAGGGCTTTGTTCGGAAAATATACATACCACGGTGGTCAATGCTGCCGGCTGGCCGTGGGTGTATCCAAGGCATGCTTGGTCTCGATATTTGCGGGCGAAGTCTGACAGCTTCTTTATTACTGTGGCAAGCTTTGGTAAGAGAAGGTCGAGTCCATCTCTCAGGAAAATGAGATCGGCGTTGTCCGTTACGTAGCTGTCTTTGGTTAGGATCCGTTCAATCTTCATAGAATGCAAGGCGGACCAAGATGTGGCTCCCAGATGAATAATGCCTGCAGCACTAGGCGCGGCCAAGCCGAAGCCATGAACGTGGGCCATCACCTACAGATCCGTTAGATGAATAGATATGTTATTCGGGGCATCCTACGTCGTGTCGCCTCCTCTTTTCTTCCACCTCTATCAGCGCGAATTCTTCGTCTCTGATAATTATATGAGATTGCATTTCGGCCAAGGCCTGATCTGAAATGCCTGCTAGCCCAAGCTCTTTCTCTGCTTCCGCTAGCCAAATCTATCTTCTGATTAGTTTTGACGAAGCAAGCATCCTGAGACGGGCTGAAAAGGTGGAGTCAGACGAACCCAGAGTCGTCTCCATGTTGAGAAGCGGTTCCGAGGGGAGAAGAGCTGCTTCATCTCCTCTGGCACGATTGGGGGTCAGCTTTGCTTTTCTATGGTAGATTGATATGATGCAAGACAGGTCCCGAGAGTAGAAATGGTCATTTTGCTCCCGAAACATGCCTTGCGACCCACTTCAGTACCACATAGGGAGGATTATTCCTGGTACGTACCGGTACAGTACCGCGAATTGAATGGAGTCTGATACTCATTATTGGAAGCCATACTGCATTGAAGTCGAAGAAAAAGGCCCTTGTGAGAAATCGATTTTGAGAGACCAGACAATAACCTTATTTTATGTGCAGTGAGATGATTGATGTCTTTCTACATTTATTTTTTCTTCAGGTGACAGTATCACCTTGCTGTTTGTAGAGGAAACTGTTTGGTCCAGATTTTTTTTTTGTACAGAACTTCTTTCACGGAGCTTAGAATGTGCGGGAATGCGGGACCAATCAAATTTCACGAATTAGAATTTGTGCACCAAGTTTCGAATTCTGTGCGGCAATTTTTTATTAGGCGCGGGTCGGTAACTGAGCTAAATTACGTCACGGCATCAGCACGAAAACCAACTCCTGTGATTGTCACTCTAAACACCCATCTGTACCAAATCATCAAGCACTTCACCCAAAAAAACACGATAACCTCCATCCGCAATCATGAGTGGAACATCAAGCGTTGGTGGTCGTGGTGTCTACGAAGCTGGGGACCAGCGTAACTCGAAAGACTCGGAGACCAACGTCGCGGACAGGTACCATGAAGGACAGCCAAACAGCCACAAGGCAAATGACTCCAGTGCGTAGCCACATTTAAGCATTGCCAGACATGAGACCTAACAATTGATTGCAGAGGATGAGAGATCGATTGCCAACAAGCTAGCTCGAGAGGGAAAGGTAATTGGCTCAAGGTCTCAGAGCGTCAGAGATGGCTGACCGTTCCAAAGCGTCAACATGAGCCAGAGGAGATCTCCAAGGAGGCTGCTGAGTACCAGAAAGATCCTACTTTGCCCGTAAGTTGTCCGTTGCGTTCCCCGAGGGTTCATCTCGGAGAAAAGGCATGGCTTGCTAATGTCTGTGTATCGATCAGGCGAAGAACCACGGCAACGAGCCTTCCAAGGGTGCCAAGATCGATGCGGAGATTCAACAAGAGGAGGAAGAGATGCTGAAGAAGAAGGGTGCTTGGGGTTCCAAGCAGTAGAGGAGCGACCGAGACGTCACTCCACCATACCGGAGGTCAGACTGTGGATGGTGCCAGCTGCTGTTGCGCTCAGGCTATGCGGTGATGTGGCAGTCGAGAAGACAGCATAGATGACAGAAATGAAAATATTTCGTTTTCGAACGACTCTCCCTTTCATTTGACGTAGTGCTGCGGAGGCTCTTAAGCAGGGATTATCTTCCCAATCATATCAAAGCTTGCGGATCAAATGGTCAAGCTCCAGAATGCTCGTGAGGCACGGGATCTGAGTCCTTCCCGAATGATCTATAGGCTTGCCTCATCCGCATAATGGCAAGAACTTTAAGCCGATGGCTGGCTGAGGCTCGTCTATGACTGCCACTACAACGCTCGCAGTACATACAAGCTACAGCGACCTCACCGGTCAAATCTCCCACATTCTTTCAAGCTGCTGATCACCGCTGAAGTCTTGACAGAATGAGTGGTCAGCCTACAAGGGTAGGTCGGATTTCGCAGGAGATGTTCGGTCTCTGGATCAAACGATGCCTCAACTGCACCTAACACGACCCATCTTCCAGATACGATTGCCGGCTCTGCGTTCTCTTCTCGGTACTTGATGCGTGCACCTTCGAAGCATGATGTAACATCCTGTTGACAATCACTCAATCCAAATATTCCCCACTTTAACTCAGTCGGTGGAGTGTTATACCCACGGCCAGCGAAGGGGTTGGACATGTATCAGAAAGCCTGCCAATTTTGGCACTGGAATGCAGGCCTGACGCTGTACCTAGGTATCTTCTCTTGGAGCGCCACCGTGTCACCAGGTGTGGTTACTTACCTGAATGCTTGGTGGCGGATGCATGTAGGTAGCTATCTGCTATTTCCATGGGAGATACCGGGCATAGAGGAATCACGCTTTACTAGACCAAGCCATTTGAAGAAGCGTTCTGTAAGCAAGATCAGCGGTGCGTGTTCTACTAGATTCTGGATGCGACCTAGGGACAGCCGAAGCCCTATGGTTGGATGATCCCGCGTGGATATTCGGGTATACGGGTTCAGTCCGGAAAGATCACCGTCAACATAACGAGGCTTGCACGATTTCTCAAATCGAACAGGCCCTACGTCTCTTTTCTCCGCATCTCGTCTTCTACATGACCCGTGCATAACGCTTGAAGTTGAGCATCTGCTTGATGAGAAATAGCGCCTTCTTGAGACTGATTCAGATGGATCATTACGCCCTATAGGGAATGCTTAAGCAATTTGCAAGTTGTTCCAAGCTTGTCTGGATGCCCTGAGCTTCCTCTTTACACCAAGCGGCCGACATCTGGACATGAACATCGCTTCACTTGATCAACGTCAGATAACGAGACGGTAGATCCGAGAGATTGCCCTCGTATGTGACATAGCTTCTGTCATGCGAGAAACAGTAGCAATCATAGTGTGCCCGACAAGCTTTCTCGGTGCAAACGTGGACTGAAACCTTTGGATGAATGTAAATTTGACGGACGCGAGCTGTGGGGCCGATGACGAATATGAAATGATGACCGCCATACAAGGTCTCGGTTGCTTCCTCGTTAACCTGTTTGTTAATTCGCAATAGCTGGAGAGGGAGTCCAGGGTTTGAAAACTTGACCATTGATTTTGTTAGGGGGAGCCGTGCCTTGGAGGTACAGGTCTCTTCTTGCGGGAAGTAACCGTGATCTTCTCAGAATTATGAGATCTTTCCAACTGGTCGTATGCTTGTTGATCTGTGTAGCGCTACATGATATATTGAGTCTCAGATCTCGCAGGGAAGATCGAGGAACGAGGTGTTGGGACGTATTGGATGTGACCTGGTCGCGTCCATGGTCATGTCCATCATTGTGGGTAAGATCTTGAGGGTCGTAATGATTGTTAGAAGTCTCAATTGCTTACTTTGAATAGACCATGAAGTTCCCCAGGTCCTTATTAAAGTAACTCCGAATATATAAACCAAAGTATATCTATCTATATTCTCTTTCTACGCTCGGCCTTACGTTCATCCGCTGCGTGTATATTACCTGTAGCAACAGACTATGGGTCCAAGACTGGCTGGACCTTTGACGCCATGTGAAGCCCGCAGAGTAGCTCCCGTAGAATGACCAATATGACTTAATCAATCAGTCAATCAGCCTAGCTTGCCTAATAACCTCCTGGTGCCGCTCTGTCATTGGGTGAACCTAGGTGACTGCGCCGACAAAGTGACTTTGGTACGAGATTACGAGTCAGCCTTATTAGTTGAGTGCGGGCTCGCAGCCTGGCGCTGCAATCTTATGTATGGAGTGTCGACCGGCTACTGGTTGGGACATTCACTCTACCGGTTTACAGTTGCTCAATACCGTGCCATGGAAAGTCCCGCGCAAGATGAAGATCCTCAGCGGTCAGTCCTCTGAATCCACTACACCGGGCATTGACTAATGCACTCATTTATACAGGTCAGTGCTTCAACAACGGGCCATAGAAGAAGCGAGATTGGCATATTCACATTTACCTCATGGCGATGCAGTCTTTCGGCAGTGTGTCGAAGGGAAAGAAACGTTGCTGGAAGTCTTGAGTACAGTTGATCAGAAATGCCAATCTCAGAAGAAGAAGAAATCGACCAGATTTTTATCGAAGCTGCAGAAATATACAACATGGTTGCAGAATATGAGTGCTGTGGTGGACATTGCGGTACAAACACAGGCTGGGTTTGGATGTCCGCTATGGGCGCCGATCAAGTTCATATTGAAGGTTAATATGCCTCTACAGCGTTGGACTGCATTGAATGAGGTCTGAACATTGTTTTGATTAGATCTCGGACGATCATTCAAAAGCTACCGAGCAGGTTTTCAATCTACTACAATCGATTACAGAGAGCCTTCCCCGACTCGAGGTTTATGAAAAGTTGCAGTCGGACAATATACTGCAAATTGCACTCCTGAACATCTTTACCGACGTGGTGGATTTTTCTGTGCGGGCCTTCCAATTCTTTCGGCGGGGAACATTAGGTATGTCTCAGTGGTGGCTCAGAATATGGTATTCTCTGCTTACGGGTCCTTTAGTGAGATTAGCCCAGACTGTAGTACGCTCTTTTGATCGAGATATTGGAGCCGTCATAGCTCGACTTGAACGCCATGCTAGGGTCGCTGACCAGACTGCTGTTGCCACGGAGCTTCTAGAAGCAGCGAAGTTCCGCAAAGAAGCCGGCCGAAGACAGCACGAAGAGTTAGAGATACAATGTGAAAGGTGGTTGAAACCTTCGGATGTCAAACATGTTCACCTGCATCAAGTCCGGGCTAGATTAGAGGGCACCTGCGACTGGATCACATCAAACGATGTGTTTGGGAGATGGATTAAGCCAGGATGCTTGACAAGCCAGGATCGACTCCTCGTCATCTCTGGCACTCATGGCTGCGGCAAATCAGTATTGGCCTCCTCAATAGTGGCTCGACTGGAAGAAAGCGAACAGCACACCCTATTTTTCGCTTTTTCTAGCTCAGACGGAAGCCGACAAACTTCCGAAAGTCTCATTAGAACACTCCTATGGCAGTTGCTGCAAGAGACTACCAACAAAGAAAATATGAATACTATACACCACCTAAGATTGGACGGCCAGCCTACCATTCCGGAACTATGGGAGGCCTTTGGACAAATAGCTTCATCACTGGCGAAGCCGGTATACTGCGTTGTTGACGGGATTGACGAATGCACTGATTACAATCACACCATGTCCGTCAAAATTATGCAAATCATGGAAGTATGCCCAAACTTACGTATACTTTTGCTGGCTCGGCCACACGTTATTCAGAAACATTCAGACAATCCTGCTTTTGCGGCGATTGAAATTACTTCTGCGATGCTGAATCAAGATATCGAGGCCTTCATTAACAATGAAATCGCCAAGTCAGACATTCTTTCACTTCCGGAATTCCGGACGAACGTCTACAAAACCCTTACGGACAAGTCTGATGGCATGTTTCTGTGGGTTCGGCTTATGGTCGATGACCTCAGGAAGTCATCGTCAAAATCCGAGTTCAGCGAGAGACTGCAGAATTTGCCCCGTGGACTGGAGAAAGCATACCAACTCCTTTTTCTCCACCTTTTTCAAAAACTCGACAAATTTGAGCTACGTCTAGCACATAATGTCCTGGCCTTCACAAGTGCATCGTGCCGCCCCCTGCGTTTCGAGGAACTTCGATATGCTCATGCTATGCATTGCCGGTCGTTAGAAACAGTGGCGCAACCTCTCGAGGAGTACTTACTTCTACAGCCACCTCAAAGGGTACTTGATGTTACTGGAGGCCTGGTCTCCATGACAGACGGTGTCTTGCGCCTTATTCACTCCTCTGTCAGAGACTTTTTGATCCGTCCTGAGGATCAATGGGTCTGCGAACCTGACAGGGCTGTGCTAGGCTTTAGAATCGACATTACCCAGACACACCGTTCTTTCGCCTGGCTTTGTCTCGACTACATGAGGTTGGAGCAAGAGGAGAGAAGAAATTGGGAGCCCGAAACGTGTCAGTCTACGCAAGCTCTCTGGGATAGCTATCCTCTTCTTGCGTACGCTACGTTGTATGCTTGTTTTCATTTGAACCGATCGTGGCCACCTTGTTCCATCAGTCTAGCTAAGATAGAAACTGTGTTAGAGTCAACACAGAGTATACTCTGGGTTCAACACTTCGCCCACCTTCTGTTCGAAGATGCTACTCTTGAGTCACAAATGGACGAGCTCATGGTTTGGGGTGACCGGATGGCGGATGCAGGCCTGGACAAAAGATTATTTGCCATCTTCGAAGAAACTTTGAAGGAACGGATTGGCCAAATGCGAAGAGCGGGAAAGCATGATGATCCACTCACAGAAAGTTTGCAATTTCATCTTAACCAACCTACAGGCGGACAATCTGGAAGTTTTGGCCAGCAGCAAAACAATGAAGCTACAGATTCAGTTCTCGAGTCTGGCACAGCTGGCCCTAATGTTGAGACTATTTCTCCCTATTCGAGCCCATGCTCGAATGATTGCTCTGCTACCTTGTCTCGAGCCATGGATCTCCTGAAAGGCCGAAATTCGTTGCCTATCGGCCATCAAATTGAACTATGTCTAAGACTGTCAACCTCTCTCCGCAGGACACGTGTTCTGATCGATCCTCTCAAGGTCCTCTTTCAATTGATCTTGAGGAATGCCTCGGGTATTCATGTGTTTGCGCTTCTGGCTATTGGCGAATTCTACAAAAGGCTTGAGAAGTACCAAGAGGCTCTCGAAGTCTACACTGCCGCTTCCAGAAAGATGGATCATCTAGATGTACCACTAAAGTTCAGGATCCACAGTTACATGGGCGACTGTTATCGGGCACTATCTTTAGATATGGAAGCCTTGAGGTCCTATGAAAGAGCATTTTCCGGCCAAGAGATCCTTCTTGGTAGTAGGCACTATGGTACACTCAAAACTCTGAAAATGATGATGCTCATAAATGACTGGAATTCCCAATATACAGAGGTGTTAAGGCTGAGCGACAAAATTTTCATGCAAAAGGAATTCGTACCAGAATTGAATCTCATTGATAATCTACAACTCCACAACTTGAGACACAATGCCTATCTGAAGATGGGCAATCATGACAGAGCGGCGCACGTGGAGAAAAGTCTACAGGCAACCCTGAAACTATGCCGCGAATCTTACAGCAATGACGATGGCATTTCCCCCCGCCTTCTTCGAGAAAGGAGCTTTGCGTACTACAATCTGGGTAACTACGATAAGGCACTGGAATCTTTCCAGCTAGCATGCGAAGCCTTTAAGAAATCAAAAGGGTCAACTTTTAGCCATACCTTGTTCATTCAAGCTAGCATCGCTTTGACATACGCGCGGCTAGGACGGTACTATGAGGCAAAGAAATTACTTGAAATGGTGCATGCAAAACAACAGAGTGTCCTTGGCCCCGATCACCGAGAAGTCTGGTGGACAAGAAACAAATTAGAAGCTCTTAAATTCGTCGATAACGAGTTGGGCGAGGAAGAGTTGGACGATGACAATCGTAGCATGATTACAACCTAACGGTCAGTTCCCGTTCATGTTTTATCGATCTTCACTACAGCGTCATAGGATCTCTATCTTCGAACCGTACTGTGAGCGCTCTAGTCATGACATTTGGTCTATTCTCTGACAAGGCGCCGACTTCACAGCGCTACCATTCTCCTCTGTTTCCCCCAACCCTTCTTCAATACCATTTGGCTCGTCGCTTAGCGGGTAATCAAGTCTCGAAACGCCATGACAGAAGACCTACTGCGGTATTCGTAGCTTACTACCTACACTCAATAAAGCCACGGTCCTTTAGAGAAGCTGTTCTCCTGCTCCGAATGAGCTGGAATTTGCAGAACCTTTGTATGAACCGCGTTCATGGCAAGCAACGCGTCACTTTCTTTGACAACGAAGGAGATGTTGATCTCGCTTGCTCCTTGGCTGATGAGGTAAATGTTGATTTTTGCCCCAGCGAGCGTTGAAAATATTTCCCCAGCTATTCCCACCGTGTTACGCATCTTGTGACCCACGACTGAGATGATCGACATTCCTGTCGTGACAGACACAGTCCCAAGCTTCTCAATCTCGGAAGTCGCATTCTTGATCTCCCTTGCCCCTTCCGTTGCTGCTGAAACTGCTAAACTTATCGATTTTTCTGTGGTTGTGATCAGATCAACTACTACTTTGTGCTGATCTAGTCGCCTAAAGACCTCGGCGAGAAACCCATGAGACTTGTTGTTTCGGTGGCAGAGCACGTTGATGATAAGAATGGAGTCCTTGACCGTCACTGCGGTTGGCCTTCGTCGCTGCTGCATATCGCCATGATAACCGTTGGCAAGGAGGAAGGAAGATGTGGGCGTCGATATCCCTGACCGAGCTGCACTTGGAATCTCGTTGGGTTCTGCGGAAACATCTGAGGCAAGATGATTGGAAGGGAATATGATGGTTCCAGCGCCGGAAGGATCCTTGACGTTCTTCAATCGCAGAGGAATCTTGGCCTTCTGGATGTGTTCCATTGTCAAGGGATGAATAACCTGTATCGGAAGATCTAAAATTATTATCGCAGATCACAGCGCGAATCCGGTAAGATCTCCACAATTCGAGGTGGTCGGAAGGACTGGAGAAGAAAGCAGGTCAGGATCACATACTTCGCTCCCAAAATAGGTCAGCTCTGCTGCTTCTTCGCAAGTCACTGTCGCGAGCAGCCTAGCCGACAGCACTTTAATAGGATCCGCGGTAAAGATCCCATCGACCTCCTTCCATATCTGGACTTCACGAGCGCCGATGCCCACAGCACACATCGCTGCGCAGAAGTCTGAATAGCCCCGGCCAACGCTGTGGAGAAGGGAGTGTGGCATTGCCCCAAAGAATCCTGCGGGGTTGTTAAAAGGATGGACATTCTAGGAATCTGAGCACATTGATTGTGCCCACCAGTGACTATGGGGATCCTATCACCGCATTCTTGTATCTTTTCCCCTATCTTTATCGAAATTCGGTCATAGAAGTGAGGTCCAAGCTCCTCATACGCAGCTTCTGGCCCATTTGGATCACTTAGGTACGCTTGCTCGACAATGTCATCCAGCAGTACAACCTTTGCACGAACGCCTCTGTGTTCCAACGACGATGCGGTTATGAGACACGCCAATTTCTCTCCGAGTGCAAGTACACGGTCCTGCGAACGTGGGGACAGCTCCCCAACCGTTTGCGCAGCATGGAGGAAAGTCCGAAGGCGTTCACACTCGTCGATTATACTCAATTCCAGTTCTTGGGCTGGCTTGCCACCGGCATATCTGGACCCATCGCCAACAACTGAGTTCACAGCTTCCAGGTGCTGATCTCGAATAATGCTAACAGCATTGTCAAGTCGCTCGCCCGACCCAAGGCTGGGGTCTGTGGCATGAGAGATGGCTTCAAGCAGTAGCTTGGTCGTGCCAGTGGACTTGGTTGTGCCAGATCGTGCGGAACAGACTATTGCCACTCTATCATGCTCAAGGGAGCTGGGAATGATTTCTCCGGTTATCGTATCTAGGAGCTTGCCCAGACTTGTTCCCCCATACTTCTGCACCACCCACGGACTGTTCGTTTTCCTCATTGGTGAGAGCATGGAGTGAGACTGGCCACAGGTGAAATGTCCGAGGAAGTCGGAGTTGCGATGAATGCACAAAAAAAAACTCGAGGATACCAGCACTGAAAAGAGGAATTTTTATGCGCTCATTCCACTCATAACCTGCGTTCTTGCGCAAGATGGACTGCACTAACACCAAAGCCGATCACTTCTATGTACAGAACGCTAGCCGATGGCGAGGCTTTCAGGACCAACGGCCGGCTTCTGCGACCGATGACTCTTTCCACACTTCACAACGGGGACCCTGATCATCCGAGTCCAACAGCCTGGAAACATCTAACACTGATTAAGGGACAGTAGTGTTCCCGTGTTGATATCGGAGAGGACATCGGATGCGGGGGGCAAATACCGAAGGAAATGTCAAACAATCTACGGGGTGATCCCGCAAACACGGCGACTATTCCGGAAGTTAGCTCTCCAGTTCAAACCATGTTCTCTTGTTTCAGTGCCGATATCTTCATGTTCGTGCCCCCACTGATACACATTTCCACCTCGATAAAGCTAGGCCAACAGTAGTTGGGTGGGGCCGATCCCAGTCCAGACCAGAGGCCGGTCACGTGATGTTCGGGGATTGAAGCAAAGTCTCGGGATTTGGACTTTTCAACTTCAAATTTCTCAGTAAAAGTGTACGCAACATGACAGAAACGGTAGGAGACATCGTCAATCTGCAGATCGGCGTAATGGATGCATATGCATCCGACCTCTCTGATATAATGGCACTGCTGCCGCTGCAGCTTCCCCCGCATTCACCTTATAGTCTACCACTCTCGCTGTTTGACTCTTTTACGACAACGCAATCTTCACAATGGTTTCGGGATCGCTAAAGAACGTTGAGAACCCAGGATGGAACACCATCGCATTGCATGGCGGTCAAGAGCCAGATCCTATTAACGGTGCAAGAGCTGCTCCTATTTATCAAACCTGTGCCTACAATTTCGAAGATGCCGCCGACGGGGCGGGCAAATTCGCCTGGTCCAAGGATGGCTACGTCTACACGCGCATGGGCAATCCTACAAACACCATTTTCGAGACCAGAATGGCCATGCTCGAAGGGGGTGTCGGGGCCGTAGCGACAGCTTCAGGACATGCTGCTCAAGTAAGTCTCACCCCTTCTCAGGATTTTGGTAACCGTACTGATCGATCCTTGCCAGTTCATGGCCATCACCAATTGCTGTCAGCCGGGCCACAACTTTGTCAGCACCAGCTGGCTCTACGGCGGCACGTACAACCAGTTCAGAGTCTACATGAAAAAGTTCAAGATCGCCGTCAAGTTCGTCCAAGGCGATGACCCCACCGACATCAAAAACATGATTGATGAAAACACCCGAGCCGTCTATATTGAGACCATCAGCAACCCAAAGCACAACATCCCTGACGTCGCGGCCATTGCAAAAGTCGCCCATGACGCCGGCATCCCTCTGATCATCGACAACACCTTTGGCATGGGCGGCTACATCTCCCGTCCCATCTCGCTAGGCGCCGACATCGTCACCCACAGCTGCACCAAATGGATCGGCGGCCACGGCACGAGCATGGGCGGTATCGTCATCGACGGAGGCCACTTCGACTGGAGCGCCAGCGGCAAATTCCCAGAATTCACGGAGCCCGCCGACGGCTACCACGGCATGCGGTTCTGGGAGACGTACGGGAACAAAGCCCTCGCCGCCAAGCTGCGCATGGACTCCATGCGCGACCTGGGCCCGTGCATGAGCCCTTTCAACGCCTGGCTCTTCCTCCAAGGCTTGGAGACCCTGCCGCTCCGGGGCCAACGCCACGTGGAGAACTCGCAGGCTTTCGCCGAGTGGCTCGAGGCGCATCCGTGCGTCAGCTGGGTGCTCTACCCGGGCTTGAAGTCCCACAAGGATTACGAGCGAGCGCGAACGACGATGCCGAACGGCCCTGGCGGCGTGCTTACCTTTGGCGTGGTACGTACCCGCGCTCTTTGTCGATACGCTTGGATGCGTTATCTACCGTGATGCTGACCGTTGGCCAGGCGGGGAACATCGATGAAGTGAGGGCCGTCGTCAACAACCTGAAACTCTGCAGCCATCTCGCCAACGTCGGCGACGCAAAGACCCTCATCATCCACCCGTGGGTCACCACGCATCAGCAACTTCCCGACGAAGAGAAGATCAAAGGCGGCGTCACGCCCGATCTGATCCGTGTCAGTCTCGGCCTGGAAGACATCAAGGACATCATCTTCGACTTCCAGCAAGCCTTTGTCGCCGCCGGGCTGCAACCGGCCGAGAAAGGCGTCGATCCTTTCCAGGCCGCTTCCGGTCTCGTCAAGTCTGGCTTCATGGGCAAGTGGGCCACGAGCGCCCCGAAGCCCGGGACGGACGGGTCGGAAGGTTGGGCCGAGAGGAATGGGGTGAAGGGGACGGAGGAGAAGGGAGATGCGAATGGGACCGAGAAGAAAGAGGAGGCGGATGGGACGGATAAGAGGCGTGAGGCTGCACCTACGGATGCCGTGGATGCCACCCAGGCTGAGTCCAAGATGACTATGGCTACCAGTGCTTGAAAGTGCTGCCGGCTTTTCTTTTCTCTTTGGGTGGGGAGGAGTTATATATTATGCCGAGGGAACCTACTTGTCGATTACCATTGAGAGCATCATTCATCGCTACACGTCCATCTGCCTACTCGATGATAATGACCCCGACCAATACTCGTCCGCAGCACTGTTCACATGCTCCTATCCCCATGAAGGAACATACTCGTCTCCAAGTTAGGACCCTGTGTGATGAAGCACACAATAGATGGGTCTGAAAAGACTACTTTCTCCCAGAGGACACGCCATGAGCTAGATCGGGGGACGACAGGGAAGGAGCCATTCACGGGAAAGCTCCCTTCTAGTATGGAGTCACCCATGACAGCTACTCCCAAGCTTGCTAATAAATAGCGCCTTCCATATCGAAGTTCCCATTCCTCACGATGCAAACCCTGTACCGAGAAAGCCCTTCTCCCTACCCTCACGAGCCGTCAAACGGCACACTCGTACCAGTACTAGTATTCAGTTCCAACTGACTCCCCTCGACGATCAGCCACACACTCCACTAGTATAAGATCGCCTCAGAGACTTACAAGACACCAGGTCTCGAATGACTCCCCACCGGATCAAAACTGAAACTACAATCCTGCCGTTAGTATTGCATCTTCGAGGCGGGTCATCGAGCCTTGGGACATATTTCCAGAGTGGAATAATTGGTCGCAAAGAGAAGATACAACAGTATGGACTCAGCAAATACATACTCCATCTTCGCCTCCGTCAGCTCACCCATCCTCAACTCCGCATACACAATCTCCTCATTATCCCACACTGGCTCAGCGAGAAACGTTCCCAGCGGTCCAATGACGCGGGAGCCGCCGTCATTCGCGGTCCAAGCCGTGCCGTCTGGTTTGCGGTCGCTGGGATTGGAGGCGGCGAAGGGTGGATAGTCTGAGGGGAAGAGGGAGACTTGATGGGTTGGGAGTGTTGGTGAAGAGTGTGAGGGGTTGAGGTAGGCAAGAAGCTTACTTTGCAGAATTGATTTGAGTCGATGACGAAACAGCGGCCTTCTTTCGCGATGTGCTGCATTTTGCGATCCAGGAGGGCAGGTCGTCGGCGTTGGGGCCGACGGAGTTTCTGATAACTTGATTGGTGGACTGTCAGGTGGGAGGGATGAGTTGAGATCGACACGTACTCAATGCCTTTGTGACACAGCGCTAGCCTAGCAGTGGGCATGTAATTCTCCCAGCAGATTAATCCACCAACCTTGCCAATCGCAGTATCGGCGACGATGAGTCCGTCGCCGGAGCCGCGGCCCCAGATTAGGCGTTCAGCCGCCGTGGGTATCAACTGTGACTGTCAGAATCTCCACAGTAAATGAACCAAACCGGCGCCCGAAAACCTTTCTATACTCGTACAGGAGCGTCACATCTCTATCTAAGAGAAAAGCCGTGTAATAGGGCGTGCCTCCTTCCTTCTCGATGATGCCGAGTGAGAGAAAGACATGATTTTCCCGAGCCGTGCGGGCAAGGGTTTCGAAACCTGGAGACGGGATGGCGACAGCGGCATCATAGTATTTTGGCAAACCACTGTCGACCTGAGTATGCCGAATGTTAGATGTGCCACTTGTTGGTTTTCCCCAAAAGAGCCTAGATCCAGGGTTACTCACCACGAGGCTCTCGTGCGCCGACGGTTGCACCGAAGGCATAGCGCCGAAAGAAGGCCTTTCCTGGGGTTACGTGCAGAGTCAGTACCGGCAGATAAGCTCAGCACCGCGCTAAGCAAGGGAAAAGAGATCTAGACTCTTACGGGAACACGATCAGATCAGCACCTGCATTCGCGGCTTCGGCAGTAAAGTGGGCCAGTTTGGTCATACTCTAAGGCAGATCAAAAGCTGCTGGGGCAGCCTGCCCGGCTGCAACCTTGACAGTCTCTTGGGTGCGCGACATCTGATCGTTTGCGGATGGTGGGGGCTCAGTATGGTGTTCCAAGAGGTCCAATGCCAGTCCTGGACTCGGAGATTAAAGTATCTTAGTGACATGTAGATGTGGAGATGGGGAACTTGGTTGACGGCAATTAGCACTAGCTATAGCATATGCTAATAATGTTCGCTCCTGTGTTATCTGGGGGAAGTTCCCTGAACGTCAAAGTCGGTGGGGTAATGTCCCCTTCCGAAGATCATTTGCCGATCAACAAACCCCGGGGTAGCTTGGAGAGATCCCGAACTGATAGCAAGAACAATGATTTTTGACTCACCTTGTGCAATATGTCGTGCTGAAGGATTATGCAAGCTATACTTGAGAGAATTATATTGCTGAAACCTGGTATGTGGGAGAAAATAGTCGACGTAGTTCTAGACGCTTCACTATCCCATCTATGTCACTTTGCCTTTTGAAAAATGACAGCTCGTGAGTACCCCTGCGCCTTTGATCAGAAATTGCCCTTCTAATGGTTCTATGCAGAACTTGACCACATTCCCGAGAAGCGAAACCCCTATGTAGACCTGATATCGGACCAAGTGTTCGCATTGATCTCATCACTAGATCTGGATTCCGGACATGTCCTCGAAAAGTGTGAAGTTGCATACAAAACCTGGGGGGTCCTCAACGAGAAGCGCGACAATGTTCTCGTCGTATGCCATGCACTCTCCGGAAGTAGTGATCTAGAAGATTGGTGGGGTCCGTTGTTGGGGCCGGGAAAAGCCTTCGACTACACGCGATATTTGGTGTTTTGTGGAAACCTTCTGGGATCGCCGTATGGTTCAGCTTCTCCGCTCACAATCAACCCAAGTACTGGAAGACCGTACGGACCAGAGTTTCCGGAGACTTCTATTAGAGATGATGTTCGGTAGGCCACCAGATGCCAGCTCGTTACTTGACGAGTGACAACTAACATGATCACAAGAGCGCACAAACTCGTACTTGATGCCATGGGTGTCCAGTCAGTAGCAGCCGTGGTAGGAGGCTCGATGGGAGGGATGTCAGCTCTTGAATGGCCGTTGTGCACGCCTGTTGGGTATGTCAACACGATTATACCAATCGCGACGTCAGCAGACCATAGTGCATGGGGCATCTCTTGGGCTGAAGCCCAGAAGCAATGTATCTATGCAGATTCAAACTACCAGGATGGATACTATGATATGGGTAGTCAGCCCACGAAGGGATTGGCGGCAGCCAGAATGGTAGCGTTGCTCACATACCGTTCCGGCGTATCCTTCGACAAACGCTTTGGAAGAAAATCACCGGCCAAGAGAAAGGGACTGCAAAAATCCAAAGAAGATCTGGCTGATGGGCATTGCGGCAACGGTGTGAATAGTAATTCTCAAAACCCGAAGTGTGACGCCTTTAGGTCGAGAAAGCGCGCTCAGATTGAGGCAAGCAACAGGACTCAGACCCGTACACACCGCACTCGCTCTCCGGTCTTCTCGGCTCAGGGCTACCTGAAATATCAAGGAGACAAATTTATCCGCCGCTTCGATGCCAACTGCTACATCAACTTGACAAACAAGATGGATACGCACGACCTTACGCGCGACAGAATTGTGAGGGGAGAAGAAACAGACGAAGTAGAAGAAGCTTTCACTGAGGTCCTCAAAGCCGTGCCGGCAAAAGCTTTAGTCGTCAGCGTTGACACAGACAACCTCTTCCAGCCCGAACAACAAGTCAAGCTGGCCAAGTATCTACCTGATGCGACTCTCTCAATAATTCGATCCGAGGATGGCCACGACGGGTTCCTTCTGGAATTCGAAGCTTTAGACGGTCTCATCTCCGAGCGACTCAAGCAGCAGTGTTCCTGGGTGTACAAAGATCCACCACTACTCGAAAGCAATGGGACGGGTTCGGCTGCAGTCAAAGATAGCGTCTTCGGTGAGGTCGAATCAGAGTGGTGATGCAAGTCTCCAGGGTTTTTATTGGCGAATGGAGCTTAGGAACTACGAAGCTTTTCGCGGCTTTTGAAGAAGGGTCTAGTGTAGAAGTACAGATACCAAAGGAATGTGTCTTTGGAAAGACCTAAAACATCAAGCAAAAAAGGCCAAACTCATGGAAGGCTGCAATGCGCAATGTACAGTAGCATATCGCTCAATTGCAGTGATAGTACCAATGATAATGTGGGCTTTCAGGACAAGGTGTCATGGACGCGAGCACAACCTCAAGGAAGTATAACAGATACGGTAGTAGTATAATTTCCATAAGTGGGGCAAGAAAATCATACCAATGTTTCATAGAATATGAAATATTGACACTTTCATGATACGCTGGGCAATGCGGCATCGGTTGCCGCCCGTACTTGATCTGGCCAAATCGTTAATCAGCGACTTCGATGCAGAGCAGACTGGACTCTATTGAATGATGTGAATAGTACTAACCTCGCATTCCGGTCAATGCTTCAAAAGTCATCGAATAGTTGTCCAAAGCTCCGACAACTTTCTGCAATCCATTTCGGAGCTGACTGGTTAAATTGCTGACAAGATGTTCGTTCCGCTGATATATGAAACCTTCGCCATTTGTGGCTCGGATTTTGTGACAGATCATAAGCATTGCATAACTACTCTGCATTGCACAGCAGGCAAATGACGGCATAGTACGGGGAGCTTTGCCGCTGTGGCTCGAAGAGGACGGAACCAGAGACTCCTGATTCCCCGTTAGGTTCGGGTAAGGGAGAGCCTCGAATGATTGAGCTATGTTGAGTGCAGCCTTTAGGCAGTATCTGGCTGCGAGATGGCTGCTGAATGGAAGATTCAACTCTGGAACATCCGAGATCGACGGAATGGAGCCGAGAGAACTCATTGAAGATGATCGGGAAGATAATGGGGAAGACGGCGAACGCGAGATCGATGAGAAAGATGAGTTATCGAACAAGTCGCCGCAGCCACACGCAGGTGCAGGTGTCATTGTGCTGTGCTCGCCACCTCGGGGATTCAAATATTGACCCGAGGATTTAAGGTCGCAATGCTTCTCGGAAAAAAGCGCTTTATCTGTAAAGGCGCAATAGCGGTTAAGCTTGATTCTTGCACTGCGCAACAGTCAGTAGATGAGACGCTGTGGCTATTTTTCATATTACCTATTCAACTTAATGCGTGCAATACTTTTTAGAGCCAATGCAACAACGGCCTCGGACGCGTCCACCGGCATAGCAGATGAGTAAGTGGACCATGCATCGGCTCTGGCGAGTAACGGGTCCAATCTACTATTGAGCTCGTGCATCTTATCATACACGTATGACATGTTGGATTTCATCTCTAAAGCCTTGTTTTGGTCAAGAATGAATTGAGTGGCGGCAAGGATGGTTTGTTGCGCGGACAAGAAGAATGGCCATGCCTGGATATCAATAGTCAGCTAAAGATGCCAGAATACCTGGATCTATGTTCCTTACATCGGGGTCGGACGTGATACTTGGATACCTTGTTGTGAACCGAGGGTCGTGAACTGAAACTGTTGGGGGCTGTGGTCCGCGAAAACGAGTTAGCGCGGAGGGACCGGACCAGCTCTCGTGATGTCTTACGGTACTGCTGACGATAGAACCCTGGCATGCACAGGTGTACTAACAAGTGCGAAGCGCAATCAGCATAGCTCTGTGGATCACCGTTTGCCATCATGACTTACACACATCCACCAAGCTCTACGTTTTGCTTCCGCGAATTCACCCTCGTTGTCGCCCTGCGAATGAAGAGACATGTCCATGGCTGAGATCAAAGCTTGTCCGGCTCGAGTACGCATCTTGCTGATGTTTCCCCGCTGGGCGTATTCGTAAATACTCAAGATGAGCAGTGCAATGACGCTTTCTATCTCAACAGGCACATTTGGATGAAAAGACCCCCGTCGAGCGGTAGGCGAGCTCCCGGTCAGTGCACGAGACGGTGAGGAATCGGAATCCAATATTTCGGACTCGATCTCGATACTCTCCATGGTCGATTCTGCAAAAGACTGGGCAAATTTCCTTCGATAAAGCACAGACTCGTGATTGGCAGGATCTTCATCATCATGATGCGGGACCAAAGCCAGGATTGTTGAAATTGCAAGAGTGATAGGAGATGACGGTTCGAAATCACTCCTGACATTGCTTCTGTGGCCCTTCCTGTGTTCGTCCCTAGGCCTAGACGATGGGCGATCTACCACTGGGATTGATACTGGAGGCGGCAAAACAGGAAAGTATGGATGGATGAAAACGTAATAAGCATTGAGACTGTCGCGAGTCAGTTAACGGCTGAATGCAACGCGCCTGGAACAGCAGACAGATGGACAGTTGAGGGGCTTACAGATCTTCATCACTGCCGTAGACCCTAACAATAGGACTGGCTCGCTCCGGAAGAGATTCTGGTCTTGATTGCGGACTGCTGCCACTCGATTGACCGTCAAATTGAACCGAGCTAGGGAAGAGGCTGTCATAGATAAAATCGCTGTCCTGGGAGAAGTCCAGCTGGCTGAGCCCCGCTCCAGGACTGATGAATGACGGTGCTTCATCGAACACGACTATGATCAATGAGTAAGAGCATAAACTGCGATGGAAAGTACATGACGTACAGTCTTCGTCATTCCAGTTAAAGGTCATGTCATGATCTTCGACCTGAGGTTGCTTTTGCGATGGTTTGGACCGAGGGGCTCGAGGCCCGCCTCTCTTGCTTTTGGTGTACTGGCATTCTCTGCCCCTTGTGGAGCACTAAAATTTGCGTCATTTAGATGTTGGAAGATCTATGTCCACAGAGAACGGGAGGATACCGACATTTGTGCATACTTTCTTCCCGTCACAACGGGTTCGCGAGGCGCGGCTGTCAAAACATTAGGTCCAAGACGCTTGGAGGCTACAACTCTAGACTTTGTACCAGGCAAGGCATGCGACCTTCACAGGTGGGACTGCAAACTTCTTCTTGGTAATCGTTGTTCGACGCGCAGGGGTACGAAGTGTGGTAGCTGTGGAGGCCATGGGCACGTGTTCGGTGGTAACATATCCCAGCACAGCAAGTGGAGTGTAGAAAGATATGAGAAGGTGGCTCTATTTAAGGTGCCTGCATTAATCAAGGGAGGCAGTCGTCATCCCACCTCAAAGCATGTGGCAGGATTGCGGCGGCAGAGACCCTTTTCCCTTTCCCAGAAAAGGAACAAGCTGCATGCTTGCATGAGGCCATTGGAGGCCATTGGAGGCCATTTCCTGATAAGTGAGAGTCTCCCTCTCATTCGATATCCTGACTGGCCGAGAGTCTCCACCGTCAACCCCACTGGGAATAGGGTGGGAAAGGGAAGGAGTGCGAAAGATAAGGAGAGAGTGGGGAGAGTCTCCGCTTGCGAGCATCTTGATCCGAGGAGTCTCCATCCGGACTGGCGCCTTGGCACCGCCTTGGCGAGGATTGCTCTCCACAAACACACTTCGCAGGAGCACACTCAATGAGAGAAACCTTCGATCATGACTGTGAAGCAACCTTTTCCTGGTAAGCCAAGCCCCTCTTACTGTCTTTCTGTGAGTTTACATGATTAAGAATATATACAATCTGTCAATCCACTGACGCATAATTGTTTGATGTAAAAGTACGCTCGTTGAGCCTTATGACTTTCCCCACAGCTTTGGATTTGCCTACATTCATTTTCGTCAGAAATACATCGCTGACATTTGAAATCAGCCGAACGATTGTTAGAGCCTGCGGTGCTCCCTCCTTGACGGAGCAATGACTGCGCCAGTTGCGCCCAGCCTCCCGTTCCCCGTGTTCCAGGTCTCGCAGAAAGTAGAGCACTACCTCCTCTATGACATAAACATCATCACATGGCTCCGCAAGAACCACAATATCCTCGGAGTCCTTGTCGGTACACTGCCTCAGATCCCACAGCAAAATGTCTTCCTTGGGCTGCCCTTGGAACTTCAGCCTGAAGAAGCAAGGTTACTTGTGGAGAGAAGTTTGGCATATATCGTGAACGATTTGGATTGGCATATGCAGGACCTAGCATCGAACGTTGTCGAGCAGAAAGAAGCGATCAGGGCGGATCTCAGAGAACAAGGGGCAAGGGTAGCGAAAGATTTCGAGAGCAATAAGAAGAGCCGGACACAGAAGGCTCTGAAGAGGATACAGGCCAAAAGCGGCTCGACTGTGGGACAGCGATCAATCCCCAGCCCAGCTCTAGAAGAGGCAGAGGACACCTCGGAAGAAACTCTGTTCGGCGAACCGCTCACGCGAGAGACCACTGTAACGCCGTCTCCAGAACCACGCCAAGCTGCTGGACCCGAATTTAAGCCATGGACGGTCACACCAACGACATCCTATCCGCTCATTTCTCCACCTGCCAACATCGACTCACCAGACCTCCCAAAAGTCAATCCGTCCTCATACGCCCTCTTCAAGCACCTACACAGCCTAGGCTACTTCCTCTCTCCCGGCATACGCTTCGGCTGCCAATTCTCCGTCTATCCCGGCGACCCGCTACGCTTCCACAGCCACTTCCTGACCATGAGCGCCGACTGGGACGAGGAGATCGATCTCCTGGATCTGGTCGGCGGCGGCAGGCTGGGGACGGGGGTGAAGAAGGGATGGCTGGTCGGCGGGGTTGAGCAAAAGGGGGAGGAGGGTGAAGGAGGCAAAGATTCAGGGGAGGCAGCGAAAAGGGGCACGGATGACGGGGCCAGAGTCAGGACGTTTTGCATTGAGTGGGGAGGCATGTGAATGAATAAAAATCGCCCTACGATCTCGTGTCATAAACATACTACGAAACGGCTAACACCGCACGGCGGCTTGCCCGCTCGAGCCCTTAAATGATTACGGCTGGACTTGCGAGGCACTGGGAAGGTGTGAGCTACCTGATCTACCGTTCCCCAAGTGTAAAATACTGGCTAACACGCTGCAACAGAACCTAAGATGCAGTCGACCTACACCAAGAGAATTTTTGATCAACCTGCAGAGGGGGCACTGGTCTGCGGAACCTCACAAGATTCACAGCACGCTGGTCCTAAGGCCGCCACTTGTATGTTAGCTTGCCTGATGTGCAGCTTTTCATTTTCAATGAAGAAAACGGGGCAACCGTCCATGCGGTGACACAACGCCTAGTATTTCCACGTAAAAATACTTCAAACTTCCCATATGTCCAATTCCCATCATATCAATCCACCGCAAATTCAAACCACCTAGGGACCCAAAATGCCCTCCCTTCCTCCATTCACCTTTCCCAGACCCTTCCCAACCCCACCCCCGCCCCCTCACTCCCTCTTTACAATCCTCGGCAATCCCACCCAACACCCCAGCATCCCCGCGAACAACCCGATACAGATCGGATGCAAGACCCACGTCCCGACCTCCTGGGCCAGAACCCCCGTCACCAACGGCGCCACCGCGCCGCCGGAACTGCCCAGCGCCGACACGGCCGCCAACCCGCTCATCTGCAGCCGCTTCGGGATCAACGACGCGAACACGGCGGTCGCGGCGGGGTACACGGGCCCGAGCAGGAGGCCGACGACGGACACGGCGACGGCGTCGCCGACGGCGTTGGGCACGAGCCAGACGAGCAGCTGGAAGGCCGCGGCGCCGAGGACCAGGGCGACGACGGCGCGCTTCTCGCCGACGCGGTGGGCGGGGTGCGAGAGCAGGAAGCGGCCGAGGGTGATGCCGGCCCAGAAGCCCGCGGTGACGTAGCCGACGCGGGCGGGGGAGGAGTGCCGGTAGGAGATGAGGAAGGAGATGACCCAGCCCGAGATGCTGACCTCGGCGCCCTGGTAGCAGAAGATGAAGAGGGCGCCCAGGACGGTGGTTTTGTGCGTGAGGGCGGCTTTGAGGAGGGTGGAGCGGGAGGGGGGCGCGGGGTGGGGGTTAGAGGGGGTGGGGTGCAGGGGATTGAGGGGCGGGGTGTCCTTTTCGTAGTTGCGGAAGGAGAAGAAGGCGAGGAGGAGGTTGAAGATGGTGATGGATAGGGAGATGAAGTAGAAGGTGGACCAGGGATGGTTGTGAGTGACCAACGCCGTCGCCATCAGTGGACCGATTGTTGCACCGATGCCGTAGGACCCATGCAAGCAGCCCAGCGCGGTCGTCGCGTTGGCGAGGTTGGCTGAGAAGACGTTGTTCGGAGCCAGATTTGTGGCTATGCCTAGGCCTAGGAAGAGGAAAGAGACGACGACGACGGGAAAGGGAGGCCTGCAGACCAGCATGATGTAGGCTGCGGCCATGATGGACTCGGCTAGAACAAGGGTCTTGGCCCGGCCCAAACGAGCCTGCAGGAGTTGGTTGACAGGAGCAGCTGCGATGAAGCCAACGGCGTTCGTGACGAAAATGAGCGAGACAATCGCATAGCCGATCTTGTAGTCCTTTTCCATGTAGGGAATGAGAGCGCCAGGGGCTGCGTCGTTCAGACCGTTGCCGAAATTCATCAGACAAGCACTCAAGAGTCGCCACTTGTTGATTGGCGGGTTCGTCCACGTTTGCACGACTTCGGCGGCATCGTGATATTCCGGCGTAGGTGGGCGGGACATCTCCAATTCATGGAGACTTCTTGGAGTCTGACCACCCGAAGGTGTAAGTGATAGCGGAGGACCATTATCACGAGGGGTCCTGTTCAGCTCGTCCAGTTCGTACGCGGTTGGCAAGTCAGGAAGAGCATGAGAATCCTTTTTGAGAGCGGCCGGAGGATCGGTAATACGTGAGCCGATATCAATAAGGGCTCCGAATCCTCCTTGTGATACCATAATTGACCTGTGTCGAGGGTTCAGTCTTGTATTCGAGACGCTTTCTCAAAAAAGGAATTATATATATTCTGTTGAAAGACTTTATATCTTGGCATGCAAAAGGGTATATACCATGATGAGAGAGTTAACGTATTTTCCAATACCCAAGAAACTTGTCATCAGCCAAGGAGGTAAGCCCATCCATTGGGATGATAGGTAGGTAACCTGCTCAATATTGTGGGAAAAGATTGCATTTCCCTTTTTCGTCAAGTGCCGGCCTTTATTCGGCTTGAAAGCCAAAAATCAGCCTTACCCACACGGCCGGCTTGGTAGCTCGAAGCCTTCACTCCCCTCATTGAAATAACATAAGAGAGACCACAAAGCGAATCTCTGTAATGGGTCGACCGAAACGCAAACTGCTAGCGACGGCAGCGGAGACATCCTCTCCACCAGCGGTCTTGGACCAGGGTCATATGATCGCTTTGGTCAAGAAGGCAGAGGGCAACAACTTGTACTCAGTGGAGCTGCCTTCGGGAAAAGAGTCACTGTTGGTCGAGCTACCGTCTCGCTTCCGTTCACAGATATGGATCAAACGTGGCGGGTATGTCGTGGTTGACAGCTCCGCATTTGATGACAGAGAGAACAAGCTTGGTGGAGAGATTGTCAACGTGGTGAGAGACGAGAAGCAATGGCGGAAGCAGGCATATTGGTTGGTGTCCTCGAGTTCGAGCAATGTGCACTGCTAATGCGTCAGTGGAGGCCTCCAGAATTTGTCAAGAAACCCACCTATCTCGACGACAGCGAGGAGGATGAATCGACCGCAGGCAAAATGCCACCAGCTGAGGAGTCGGATTGCGGAGAATGACCCCATTGCTTTGCATTCCAGCACCCATCACTCATCATGTTCCTTCTCTTCGCCCGCAATATCCGCGGGAGATGCAACATCAGCAAGGTCATCCCTTGTGCCCCACCATACAGACAACACCTGAACAACCAAACACCCTACTACCATGATCGAGCTTGCGTCGGTACTCGGATACACGTTCCACCCCCACTCTTGAGCCCCCCAGACTGCGTATATGAAGATTGGATGCAAGCCAGCTTTCCAGAGCAGAAACGGTGTTGACCAGGCGATATAAGCATAGAATTGGTAGTGAAGAGACCGTGCGCACAGCATGCCGATAGCCATAGAGTTCAGAATGGATGTCATAATGAAGGATGGTGACACATTGATGGACATCAATTGCTGGGCTTTAGGCGGAAGAGGCTTGATTGCGGTGGATATCAAAGCTGGTATTGAAAGGCCAGACGGTCGAGTCCAACGAGTCAGAACGAAAGTTGAGAGCAATGCAAGATGGACAGCAATTAGGGTTATAGCAAATTCCCTGGACAAGAATCTTTCTTCCCCCACAAATCTCCAATTGACGGTCCATTTGAATAAGAACTGTCGAGTGAGCTCGAATGACCGAGCGAGATAGCCTTTCGCGTTGGCTGGTAGAAACGGAAAGGCAAGGGTGATCTGTTGTACGGCGTCAGCCTTGTTTCGCGGCATTCGCGATTGTAAGAAAAAGACTTACCTGTATCTGTGCCATGAGAAACGCAGCATTCATTGCCCTGTTGAAAGGCAGCGCTTGCAACAATATGAGTCCAACTGCGGGAGCAGCCAGCAAAACGCTCATCTTAATACCGACGCCGAACGAATAGACAACGCTTCCGACGGTCCAGATTCTTCTTTGGTAGAAGTATATAGCGGTGAAGAGCGCCAGAATAGCAAAGCAATCGTTGAAGAGTCGCAGGAGAAACAGGCTGTGGAGTCTTTTCGAGAGGATGAGGAGGGGAAATATGTGCGGCGGTGCCTGCACTGGTCAGCACAGGCCCAAAAGTTTATCGCTAGCTTTTCTGTCGTAGCCCGAAATCCTCATACCTTAGCCATACGGTAACAAGCCATAGCCATGCTCACGGCGCCAAGATACACAACAGCAAATGTACATTGAGCGATTAAAATATCAGCTCCTTTGTCCGTAATGAGGTATAGAGCGTTGTATATGAATAGATGCGCTGCTGGGTAAACCAAAGGACCTGGCATCCAGATTTAGCACCCAAGAAGAGGAATAGGAGGCACATTTCCGTGTCCAACCTGTGTCGCCTTTAATGAGGGTGTAGTCGCGCTCTCCATTTCGATACTGTTCAACCTGCTGGATGTAGGCTCTCCAGTCAATTTCAGTGTCTATCCTGGGCGTCAGCTCCATCCTTTACGGGCTGGGCAAAAAAGCTTCCTCTCTCGTTGGCGCAGGAGCTCGGGGACCAAAGCTCACAAGGTATTTTCCAGATGATGAGGGCGCAGAAAACGGCGTCCGCAAGGAGAAGGAGGGGCGAAAGCCATCTTGTATGCTTGGAGTTGCTGGCTAGATCGATGGCCTGGTGGTAAAGGTCCATTGCGCCGGCGATGATTTGGAGAAGAGGGAGCTCTCTTGGCTTGATGGCGATTCCAGCTCACCCGCGTTCTCTTGGCACTGTAAGCACTGAAAGTCAAAGCAGACAGAAATCTGCCCCCAGTTTATTAAGGTAGCCGGGGCCCGCCCCGGGCCGCCTCTTTCAGCTGCGAGCTGGGTCTCGGGGGTTCGAAAATAAACTGCACTTACAAACTCATAATCTTAGGGCCCACGAAAATCGCAAAACATACCTTATTGTCTACCAGCTTCTATAACTCAACAACGAAAGAGAAATATGAGGAATCAATGATGTACGTCCTAGAGGTAGAAGGATGACTGGCTATGTATGACTGATGCAGAGCCTGATATCTACCATGGCCAAGGCCCACTAGTCTTGTTGGCTAGGCAACCCCTGTCAACCGAAAGTTTCAATGATAACATTTTATTATATAAACTACTCTAATTGAATAATTATACAACCCCCTAGCCGGAATGATGAGCGTACGTTTGAATGGTTGATGGACTTCAAAATTCCGCCACTGTGCAGTTAGTTTTGCAACTCCCAGAGCTGGGTGTGATTCAGCACCTAAGCCCGGGTAAGCAAGCTCATCCTTCATCTTTCTTTATCCAACTCCCCAATGTTCGAGAGCTCAATTCAAGTATCAAGCTTTTGATGTATAGATAGAATATATAGCAGTATATAGCCGAGCTGTTGTCCATTAAACAAAAGTTAGTCAATCCTGCTGGAATCACAGCTCCTCCGTTGCTGGTAAGGTTCTCGAAACGGTTTTCTCGTCACCTCTCAACCAAACATAAAACCACCATCTCCATCTTCCCCCGCCCGTCGTCCAATCCCTCGCTATCCATGATACCATGGATATAGCATGCCCCAACGACCTCATACTCTTCAACCCGTCGGGAACGTAGTACGATTGGAATTTGCGAGCCTGCCGCCACAGCAATCAGGTCCCCCTCCCTCCGTTTCTTGGGCACCCGCCCAATTCTCCCTTTGCTCGACAAGCAGAGTCGCCGACCATCAGCTGTCTGCACTATCCGTTTCTGAGCCTCCATGATATGCTCGCATCTTGGGTCGCCGACGGTAGTCCGTGTCTCGTCCGCCGACGACTTTATGTGATCTCACTTCTTCTGTTACGTCCTCTGAAGAGCCGTATGCTGTACTCTTATCGACCATCTTCCGAAACTTGGTATGGATCAACCCCATTTGAGTCCACTCGACATCGTCGTACGACTGTCCTGTTTCTTGAGCGCAACATTCTATTTGTGTGCCAACAGCTTCGATTCCATCGACAACTACACCTAAGGCTAGGACAGTATCGCCTTGTACTCTGAGTCGCGCTCGCTCGATTAGCGGGCCTGCTGCACAAAAAAAGGTCTCTGTCCGAGGTGAGTGAGTCGATAAGTAATCCTTTGGCTGACGAGGTCGGAACCCAGGATAAGTTGACCAAGCAGCGAAGACTCATTCGTTTCGCATACCTCTAATAACCGTAATTCCTGACTCTGAACGATCGCATGTACTGCGAAGTCGCGATATAATGTACGCGCGTCAATATCGTAGGTTGGAAGATACGGGAGCGAATTCTTATTCTTTACGAGTGACAGCAGTCCATAGATCTTGTCCCTTAGGTCCCTTACCTGCCTCGCTTGGGTCATCTTCATTAGCTCGAACACGGGAAGACCTGTGTTTCCCGATATTTCTTGATGCCCACAAGCTGATTTTGGCCTCTGTTCGCGCGAGTCGAGTTGAATTACGCAACCTGCATGATGTTCTTGTCACATCAGAGACTAACGACTCCAATCTCTTATGCTCCCCGGACAATTTGATTCTTGCGATCAAGAACCTCTTTCACTTGAAGCGGCATACAACCTTAGCATGGGGTTCCGTTCCAGTATTCGATTCCTCCCACACCGGCTCTGATTCTGTTCCTCCACGCTCACTATTCTCAAATAATTGATCATGCTGAAAGCCGCGTTTGGTCCAGAGCTGTCCTCGTGCCACTCCCCGATGGCGACACACTGGCCAAGCCGTACCGCAATGTCACCAACTTGGACCTCATCATCCCAATGACCTTCCGGGATCGCTTTCAGAGGCGTAACAAACAGCTTGGACCGCTGCTGATCGAGGGAAAGCTCGATGACTTCCCTCGTCAGCCATTCTACGCCACCGATGGTTGACTTTATGGCTTCGACGCGTAGGATTCCATTGTGCTCCTCACACCGTGCTTCATAACCATTCCAGACACCACCATCGTTGATCTTCAACCCTTCGGGATCGAGACACTTCGCTACCGGCTCACTGGAGAGTTCTTGGTCCAAGCCGATCCTCGTTCGACTCTGCTCAGCCAGACTTATCTGGGCTTTCACTTGATCCAGATTTTGCTTCAATTCGCGCTTCTCCGGACTGGAATGATGCGTCGTGTCTTCACGCTGCTCAATATGGCTGATGAAGGCGCGCAAATGTCGGATGTCTCTGGCCGTGTTTTGAACGGCATCTATCCGACTGACCTTGCACCCCCTCCATCTTATATGTGATGGCCAAAGTCGCCTGGTCTAAGATTGCGAGTACCTTCACGAGTCTCCCAGTGCCTCTGAAATTGTTTAGGAATGGCTGATAGTCCGACCTTCTCCGGACTAGTTTGCTCACCACATTGCCACCTCGTCTCGGATTAGCTAGCCATTGGTTTACCCTGTGGACGATATTTTTCGTCATTTTGATTGCTTGATACAGTTCGCCATTGAGCAGCGTCTCTCGAATGATTAAATCATAACACGGTTTTTCCCCCACGGTCACTTGCACGGGATATCTCCCTGGTGTCATATAAATGATGTTATCGAGGTCTTGGGGACTAATGACATATCTGCTGTCGTCGGTCATGACATTAGTCAACTCAGTGCAATCCGATCTAGGGTGAACCTCGACGGGAGGGATGTCGTTGATCGTTCTTAGACGTCCTGCGTATTGCAGAGTGTTGAAGATTGATGTGGATCTGAAGCCCTCGTCTGGCCACTTGACAATCCACGAGAGGCATTTCCGGCAGAGATCGTCGACTGTCCCGGGAAGGAGATAGCCATCTTCGGGCTTTCTCCTCATGAACATGTTCCAGATATTGCTATGGTCTTCATCTATGTTAGCGTTGCCACTTTCTAGTGGAAATCCATCGATGGCGGGCACCAACGCGCTCAAGAATACCCGCGGGTTGATCGACAACAAAGGAAGACCTTCAAGGTCAACAACTCAATGTCGTGTCGGTCAGCTTTGAGCTTATACGTCGCTTCCTATCAGCGTATCTAGTTCCTTCTATACATGCGTCCTTCCTATATCCTTTTATATAATTCTATCATTATTCCTTTCATATAATTAACTATAGATAGTTATGCTTTACTCTATATTAGCTATATAATAGCTAATAATCTTATTACTAAATCTATACGCTTTCTATAATTATTACTACTATATCTCGCTAAGAGATTATAAACTTTCGATTAATATTAATAATATATTAGTATTTTAATTATATTAAATAATTTTTAAAATATATATATATATTTTTAATTATAATAAGTAAATTAGAATAAAAAAATAGTAAGATTAATAATTTATTATTTTTATATTAGAGAAGTTATAATAATTATATAAACTATAAACTAAGAAGATTAAAATAAAGTTTAAATAGTTATAATTTAAGAGAATCTTTAAATTCGCTATACTCTTATCGATAATTAGTATCTCTATATTTAAAAGAGTATTTAATTAGAATCGCTAATATTAAATAATATATAATTATTATTAAATAGCTAGAATATATCTAATTCTCGCTAAAATATTAATTTAATTAGAAGAGAATAAAAAATACGCTAAATAAGAGTTCGCTAACTTCTAAATTAAAGATAATATTTATATATCTCTTAAATTTAATAGCTATATTTATATTATAAATTTTTAAAATATATATAATATAATTAAAATATTTAAAGATATATATAAATCTAAAGAATATATCTTTTATAAAATATTATAGAGAATTATTAATTATATAAGCTTAATTAATTATAAAGAAGTTATTAAATATATTAAGATAATTAAAAAGATTAAAATAAAACTCGCTAAGTTAAGCTATTAATATATATAGAAGATTATAATATTCTTTCTTTATAAACTTCTCTTATTTTATAAATTCTTTATAGAAATTATCTTAAATAATTAAAATAAAGACGCTAGAGAGAGATTATTAAAATCGAATTTTAATTATATTATCGAGTAATTTCTTAATAGAGAATATTATTAAAAATTAATTAGTATTAATAACTTTAATAATAAGATTATATTTATAAATAATAAGAATAAAAGAAATAATAATAAGAATTATAATAATAATAAAAAAATTATTTTTAAACTTAAATATAACGACTATAGTTTTCGCTATAATAGAACTTACTAGCTATTTAATCTCGATTAAATCTTTACTAAGTAAGTTAAAAAGAATAAGAATTCTATTAAGAAATTTAAGAAGAAGAAGAAGACTAGTAAACTCTTTATCGAATTTATTAAAAAATTAAAAATAATAAAAGCGATCTATATTAAGACTATTACGATATTATATAATAATAATTAATATTTTAATAATATAGCTTTATTTTATATAATATACTTCGAATACTACTTTATTAAAAAATTAATATCTCTCGAAAATTTTATATTAGTTAAAACTATTAATAATAAAATATTAAAGATTATTATAGTAAGTAATACTTTATTAAAGATTCTTATTAAGAATAAGAATAGCGAGAATAAAGAATATCTATTAATATTAATAAACGTCTATTATATCGATAATTTATTTAATAATTTACTCTTTTTAAATATATTTTAATATAATAACTTTATTTATATTAAAAAAAGAAATTATTTAAAAATTTATAATAATAATAATATTATTATTTTTAAGAGAGAATTAATAAATATACTTTATAAGCTAAGATTTATATTATTTAAAATTATAATAGCTAAGAAGATTACTATAATCGCGATTATTAAGAAGATTAATTATTATAAGATAATAGCTATTAAATAATATTAAATATTAAATTATTTAAACTTTAATAATATTATTAAACTATTAATTATAATAAGAAAAATAAAAATTATAGATAATATTAAGAGATAATTTTATAAATTATATATATATAAGAAATAAAAAAAGATTTTAGACTATAAATTAATAATTAAGATAGAAAATACTTTTAATAGTATTTATATAGATCTCTTTAATAGCGAAGTAATATTATCTCGCTTTAAAGAAGATTATTATTATTACTTTATAAAAATTAATTAAAAAAATTAATTTTAATAAATAGACTTTTTAAAAATTAAGAACTAAGTATTTAAGTTATTATAAAACTTTATTACTATAATTAAAATATATTTATTTTAATAATAGTAGTAAGTATAATAATAAGAAAATTCGAGATTAATTAGCGTTTTAAGATATATAATAAAAGTTAACTATATTTAATTTACTTAAATAAAATAATATTAATAAGCGTATTAATAATATTCTTATTTAAAAGATATATACTTAGTTAATAGTTATAGATCTATTATTAAATTTATAAACTAAGACTATTAAAATAGCTATTCTAAATATAAATTATTTATTTATAATCTTATTAAGAAAGATAGCTATAATATCGTATTAAACTTTTATTAAAAATAAGCTAAATATAGCTTATTTAAAATTATTTAAAATTATAATTTATATCTATAATTATAAATATAAATAAAAGAGAAAAATAGCTAAATAAGAATTTGAATATATCTTATTTAACTATAAGAAATTTAATTAATATTAATTATAGAATAAAAATAAATCTTATTTAATATTACGATATAATATCTTATAAAAATCTCTTTAGACTTTTATCTTATTTTTTAATAATATTAAAGATAAGCTAATAAGATATTAGAGAATAAGAACGTTATAAATACTATTATTATCGCTAAAAGAATTTTATTATTTTTAGAAAATAAAGCTTCTTCTTTATTAGTTATAAATAATAAAATAATAATAAATATATCTAAAGAAGATCTTAGTATTATAATCTAAAATCTATTTATAAATCTAGAAAATCTCGAGATTAACTATATTTCGAATTTATCTAAATTAAGTAATTAGAAGAATATTATTTTAAATATATTAAATTCTTCTATATTTAATTTATTAAGATACTTATAATATATTAAAAATATATTAAAAATTATAATATTATTTAAGATAATAAATAGATTAATTTTAATATTTTAAAAAAGAAATTTACTAAATTAATATAAGTTATACTCTTTATAACTAATATTTAATCTTATACTTATAAAGAAGTAATTAATAACTTTAATGTAATTTAATAAATAATCGCTATATAGAAGTAATAGAACTTATTATAAAAGATAAAGATATAAAAGCTAATATTAAGACTAATATATCGTATTAGAACTAGTATAGATATAATATTAATATAGGTGAGATAGAACGAGAATAATAAGACTATCGAACTATATAGATATCTTTTATTATAAATAATATAGAGATTATTAATATATAATTTTATTAATAGAATAATAATTTAATAGAAAGCTAATATATAATAAAATTTTAATATTAAAATCGCTTTAATACTTTTTTAAAATATATTTATATTAGAAACTTAATAATATATATAATAACTCTATATTATAGTATAAAGAGAATACTATCTATATAGAATTATTATAAGTATAGATTTTATAGTAAGATAGAAAGATCGAAAGAATTTAATACGTTAAGCTTAATTAAGCTATAATATAAGTAAGATTATTAAAATCGTAATATTATTTTCCTCTTTAATTTAAAGCTTCGGCGATAACTACTATATAGTAGATATTAATCTTATAAAAAGTATATCTAAATATATACGAAGTAATATTTTTAGATATATTAATTTAATATTTTATAATAAGTTTAAAGTCTTTTTATAAGTTAATATAACTACTATAAATTAGTAGCGCTAATAGAGAAAACTATTCTAAAAGTTTTTTAAATAATAAATAAGAGTTAACGACCTCGAGATAATAATAATAAAAGTCTACTATTAAATTTAAATATTCTACTATATTCGTAAATAGTTATTAAAATAAATTTTCCTCGATCTTAAGATTTCTATATCTAATTTTATATATTAGATATTCTCTCTTACTAGTTAAGAAATCATTTTTTTATTTATTTAATTTAATTTAAACTATTTCTTTAATATCGTAAATTTTATCTTTTTTATTAATATCGATAGAAGATAATAAAAACTTAATCTATTTTAGTAGTAAATCGCTATTATTAAGATATAATAGTTATAAATAAAAGATAAAGTAAATATTATTTATAAAAATTAAGAGTTTTAACTTATAAGCGAAATTATTTAAAGCTTTAGTAATTTTAAATAATTTGAAATTCTTATAATCTAGTAATTTATTAAGATATATAATTTTAATATTTCTTCTATTAAGTATAATTATATCTCTAATTTTAAATTTTAATATTAAAAGTCGATAATTATTAACTTACTTTTTCTATAAAGCTTATAATTATTTAAATTAACTTCTTAAATAATTTTTTATAATATCTATCTTTTTAATAAACTTATTAACTAATTTAATATCTCTTTTCGCTCTTTAACTAGCGAATTAATTCTAAAAGATAAAAGATTCTATTTCTAAGCGAGGAATATATTCTTTAATAAGAAGAAATAGTAATATACTCGATAAGATATTCTTATCGAAGTTAACTTTAAACTCTACTATTAATAATAAATTTACTTAATTATCTTATTTATAATTAATATAAACTCTAAAATATTACTTTAAAATAATATTAATATTCTCTATCTATTTATTAATTTTAAGATAAAATATAATAAAGAGTTTAGATTTAATTCTAATTCTTTTATATAGTTTTCTCTAAAAATATATTATAAATTAGATACCTCGATCTAAGATAATAGTAAATAAATATTCTTTTTCTTATTATATAAATTCGATAAAAGCTTAAACTACTACTTTCACTTTTAAGAAGT